CTATGAAATTTCGGGACTTTGAGTATCTATCTGAACTGAGGGAACCGAGACGAATTCAACGATAACCTACTTTTGGACCGGAAATGAAAAATAATAAAGTTATCATACTTTTTCTGGTGGTCGCTTGATATAATTGTGCAGTTAATGTTACCTATGGTGAGTAAAATGGCAGTTCGTCTCTAATTCCAGCCAACAGAAGAAAGAAAACAGTGGAGACGCACGTTCTAACCTAACCTAACCTATTCTAATAAATTACCATAAATATTACTAACCAAATTATTAGAATAGGTTAGATTAGGTTAGGTTTGAACGTGCGTCCCCACAGTTTCTTTTCTTTTGTTGGCTGGAATTAGAGACGAACCGCCATTTTACTCACCATAGGTAACATTATCCAATTGTGCTTACTTATTAGTGCAGTCTAAAAATCAGTGACACTTTGTAGCAATTGGTTTCTGCGACAAGCACACCTATTTGTGGTACATTTATTTGTGGCAAAGATCTTATTTTCACTTTACCGAGTGCCTAGTAGGTAATGTGCGGATTACCTGGACACTCTGCACATTATCTAGGTAATTTGAGAAATGGAACAATTTTCACAACTTTAATGGATTACCCTAGTTAATCTGCAGATTAACGACTTTCGAGCTTTAGCGGTAACATATATACAAATTAACCCCCTGACTATTCAGTAAGATAGGAATGTTTTATAGTTGATATACTGGTATATATAACTGGTCTTATAGTAGCGTTCCATAGATTATTCTATAAAACAATAAATCAACAATTATGAATAATCTGATAAAGTGTGATTTGTGTACTTCCGAAATAATGAAATCAAAACAAATATGAAATTATTTCCACGTATTAATATTATTTCAGTTATTCAACCAATTTATAAAATTGCAAAAATACAGCATTGTGCACCGGTACGAACTGTAAAGCAACGTACGCAAAGTTCACATTGCGTATAATTTGCCGAATTTCGCGAAAACTACGAAATTATTTGGTAATCCGAAAATTTCAATAAGTTGGTGCAATATAGGTGTTGTAGATACCAATAAAAAAACTTTTACTGTATTTATATTTACTACATAATAGATTGACTTTATAACCATTCTTGTGATATTTTCTATTATCTACAATAATAAATGCAAATTACGATTAAGAATAAATAAATATAATATTAAATAATAATAAGATAAAATAACATTAAATGTTAACGATATTTTACTGTACAGTAGACCCCTATAAAACGGGTTCCTATAATTACGATTTCTATAAGACAGCGAAAAAATTGCGATGATATCCGTAAAAACAGTAAAAATCTCCTATAATTATATAAAACGTCATCGGGCAGCCGAACTACTTTCCGCGCCGTCAAGCGCCACGCTACAGAGAGATTACTATCGTCTGTACAGTATTATATATAAATTAGGTACTGTATATATAATTATATATTAAGTAGGGGAGACCGGAACAAGATCGGCATGTTAAGCTTTACTTAAATTTTGTGTAATAAATACTGCTGTAAACTGAAAAAAAAGCTTTGCATATTGTCTATTGGAATGTTACCTTACTATAGAACTGGTTAAAATCAGTTTGGAAATAAAAATAATTAAAATAATTACAACTTTACAAGAAGAGAGAAATTGACGAAGTTGCCCCGGGTATAGGGGCAAGATCGGCAACTTCTCTCTTTTTGTAAAGTTGTAATTATTTTAATTATTTTTATTAAAGTTGCCCCTGGTATAGGGGCAACAGTAATGGGGCAAGATAGGCACGTATATAAAATTATGTTATTAACAATGTATAAGTTGGAATTCACTATTAAAACAAAGAAATACAAATCCAACACCCATTTAATATTATTACAACGAAATGCAAGTTCAAAGACATATATACATGAATAACAAATGCAAACATGTTTTCATTTATCATCTGTTTGATTTTTATCCTTTGCTTCTAATGTGGCTTTATGTTGCCGATCTTACCCCGCTAGTCATGATTTCGAAACATTAAGTACAACCCTGAGAACAGAATGCCAAGCCACGATCTGGCCACGTGAATAAGTTGAAGTTACATCCTTCTAACAGGAAAAGTAACTTTCGTTATCATGGAATTATAACAAAACCTGCCAATTCAATATAAATGGAAAAAAAATATTATATGGAATTGAACGAAAATGAAAATTTGCTTGATAATTCAACTACGCTTGTTGGAGAACAATAAAAACACTACACTCAACAAGCCACCAATAAAACTCAACTGCCTAAGCTATAACCAAAGTCTCCTTTTAATTTGTTTTTAAAAAAAAGCGCTTGGCAAACTTGCCCCGCATGCCGAAGTTGCCCCGGTCGCCCCTGTATATCAGGTCAGTCCATAAGTTCGTGCGCATTTTTATCTACAAAAAAGAAACAAAAAATTTTAACTAAATTTTATTTCAATCTATAATGTATTCACTATTATTTTGTAAAATTTTTTGCCATCTTGATGGTAGCTTTTTAATCTCGTCTTTGTAAAATGATTTCGGTTTTAAATCAAAATATTCAAAAATAGCCTTTTTTACATTGTTCTCATCCTAAAAAGTTTTCCTTTTAACAAATTCTGCAAACTCCGAAAAAGATGATAATCACTGGGAGCAATATCTGGAAAATATGGTGGATAAGGTAAAATTTCCCAGTTGAAGCTTTTGAGTTGAGCAGTTGACGTTCTTTTCAGTTAGCTATTGACAGTTCATGTGGTATCCATTTTCCTAGCTTTGAAACTTTTTTGATTTGTTGTAGATGTCTATGAACAGTTCCATGGGATGAATTTAAAGTTCTGCAATTTCATCAACTGTTAAAGATGGTTCTGCTTCAACTAGTGCAGAGAGAGCATCATCGTCAATGTCAACAGGTCTTTCAGTAAGCCTTATCCTCCACACTAAAATCATTATTTCTAAATCTTTCAAACCACTTCTGCGCAGTCCATACACTTATAACAGTTTGATTATGAACAGTATTTAATTTTTTGGCTGCATTTGTAGCATTCCTATCACTTATAAATAAAAAGTATAAAACACGTCTCTTATATTCATCTGTTACTTATATTTTAACGAAAATAAACAACTGAAATGTTCCCAATTCTGAACAGTATTATATGAATGAGATCCAATTTAACACTTCAGTGTAAAAAGTATCACATTAGACTGTCATTTTTTACAGCGAAACAAGATTTTTTCAAGGTCATAAAATATCAGAAACTTATGGACTGACCTGATATAATTACTAGCTGCAAGGACCCACTTCGCTGGGTTTTTATTTGTTCGTACATTTGTATGTAATATAGTTTTTGTTTTTTATATATAAAAGACTGTTTTTCTACGTAATCTAGAATTTAGCTGCAAGGACCCGCTTTGCTGGGTTCTTATTTGTGGGCAAAAAGTAACGATAGTGAAAGATAATTACATTATAGCCAATCTTACCCGTTTTCACAGAATGCAAGAATTAGGTCCCCCATTTCCAGACTAATTAGAGATCTGGTCCCGATTCTATTTCTGAACGTCGCCTGTTCACGTGCAGTCAAACGATCTCTTTTCAACGTTTCTGGAACGTTTACAATCGTTCTATAATCGAACCAATATTCGAATTTTATGTTCGAATTGAATTCGAACAAATTCGAACAAACCATTCGAAATAGAAAGCCACTTTCAACCACTTTCAGCCCCATATCTCCCGCATCCCTATAGCTATGGAGACGCAACCCCCGGTGCACGAATGGAGACTTGGAGCTACTACCACATACAAACACCATTCACGTGTGATGTGTAGTTTTGGCGGAAAAGTGAAATATAGGGACATACATGTCCATTT